ATATACAGAGAGTGTCTCTCTCTCTCTATGTATATGTCTGTGTATGTTCATATACAGAGAGTGTCTCTCTCTCTCTATGTATATGTCTGTGTATGTTCATATACAGAGAGTGTCTCTCTCTCTCTATGTATATGTCTGTGTATGTTCATATACAGAGAGTGTCTCTCTCTCTCTATATATGTCTGTGTATGTTCATATACAGAGAGTCTCTCTCTCTCTCTATATATATGTCTGTGTATGTTCATATACAGAGAGTGTCTCTCTCTCTCTATATATGTCTGTGTATGTTCATATACAGAGAGTCTCTCTCTCTCTCTCTATATATATGTCTGTGTATGTTCATATACAGAGAGTCTCTCTCTCTCTCTCTATATATATGTCTGTGTATGTTCATATGCAGAGAGTCTCTCTCTCTATATATGTCTTTGCAGAGAGATATGCGGATGACTAGAAGTCACTAAAGAAAACCATCCAGCTACTTGGAACAATGAAATGTTTTCTCGTAACTCACTCTCATGCTACCACATATACACCACTCAAACCTAAAATGTTCTTAATACTTGAACCAAAACTAAGCATGACTAATAGAGATTCTGTATCTAGTAAAATCTCCAAGTCCCAGAATCTGCAGCATTCCATATATATACGCACATACGATCTTGCTATACTAAGTATAGCAAAATTCAAAGGAACTTTCAAAGGAAAAGTTGAGAATAGCTTCAACTTTTTATCTATGATATTGATGATATTCTTTTAAGTTTTTATACTATTATGTAGTTCCCAAAGCTTTTGTTTTGTGGTTCTTTGTTATACCGTTGCAGTTTTAGAGAGATGGTTTTCATCCAGGAAGAGTTTTGGATTAGTTTATTTTTTATTGTCAATTTCTATGATGAATAAGATGTACAATATATTTTAATAACTATCAGAAAAAAAACTATTACAGTCAACGTTGTATTTCATTTCTTGATGTTTAAAAACAGAAAACAAAAGACATACTAAAATAATTACTACTGATAACATCGAGTGCACTGCACAACTTCAATCATTGTACAGAATATAGACGCAGAACAGTGAATTTAGTTTTGCAGTTTAGTGCACAGCTACGCTCATGTGTTCGAATCTCTATTCGTTGAAAATTTCGAGTTTTTCGATAGTTTTAGTTTCGAATACTATAATGGAATGTATTCCGGTTGTATTCTGACAGAATAATAAAGCTTAGACCAACAATAATAAGCCAATACCAATTTAATGTGGTAGGCATATGTCCAAATATCTAGTATCATCTAGATCAACCTTGTTTCCATAATTTCTTTATTTTATGATTAATAGATGATGTAGATGTTGCAAATATGTTTTGCAATGATTCAACGAATTGCTGATGAAATGTGCCGTGGTTGGCTGTAGCTGATAAATATACCACATTAATCATTGGTGGTGTAGTTGGTGGACGAGTTCTACGTATTACAACTAATGAGTTTGTGCCGGCTTCACAATAATGCCTGGCGGATCTTTCCGAGAAGAAATGTGTCGACATTTCAGTGTTACAGATATACAAAAAAGGTAAAATAATATAAACGATAAATGTTCGACCAATAAAAATACGTAACAAAAAAAACAAAATACAAAAATGTACAGCTAATGACATTTGGAAGGAACAGAAATTGATTATGACAGAAAAACGATATACGTAGAACGCACTGCACACCAATGGTTTAATGAGAAAAAAAGTATATGTATATACATATATGAAGAAATATTAACCATTAAAAACGAAAGAAAACACAAAAAAGAAATCAGTGTGGCCAATGATGTGCGCGCACAAGAACCTAATGCTCTGGTTGATCATACAACAGCATACAACAGTTCATCCTCAAATACAAAACTTCCTCGGTCATCTCGACCTTTAGTATATTTATACATAGGATCACTAAGCTTTTCTTCCCTTTTTTGGTTAACAACCTGACTCATTTTTTTATCGTTTTTGACGAGAACATTCAGAAATTTCTTTGAGTTCATGCATGCAACTACAACTAAAATCACTAAAATAATAATAAGTGCAATGAGAATAATAGTGAGGGTAATATACAGTGCTGGTGATGCTTTAACTATGGCAGTCAAACTTAATTTTTGTAAACGTGCAGTATTTAAGGTTTTTTCAATTTGGCGCATCAGATCTGAATTATTGAACGCGTATGATAATTTTGTTAATTCCGTTTCGATTTCGTGAATGCTTTTTCCCAACGGAATCAATTTTTCAGTGCGCTTAACTTCCAAGAGATATGTAGGAGTATCGTTGCATAAACTACCACCTTTATAGGTATGATGTGTGCACACAAACTCCTGACGACAGTTGGTATGAATAATGCCAATTTTTTGAACTGATAGATCAAACAACGTGTTCTTATTATTTGACTGTCGACAAGTTATATTTTTGAATGTTGATACTACCCACACATTTTTTTCTATATTTATACTAAGAGGAGAATATATTTTTTTCTGTTCAATATAACAATATTCTGTCTCATTCCACTCTAGTATTCCTCTAATACATTTATTTTTTATTTCATCAAATTCAATTGGTGGAATTCTACAATAAGAATTTTGACCAATAAAACATTCTTCACGACTAGGATAATTGGTCCATTCGGTATATGTGCCATTGTCACCAAAAGCAATTAGCTTAGGTAAATCAACTACCTCAACAGCTGAAGATTCAGTGACAAAATACGGTATTGGCGTGACGGAGTACAACCGATTAATGATACTACTAGGAGATGAAACGAAAGTTTTAATGACAATATTTCCGATGAACTTGGGCAAAATTCCAGAGAAATTCATATTTTCACTTGAAAATGTTCCATCACTTCCTTCAGTAACGATAGTAAAAATATCGGGAAAAGTTTCATTTAATTCCGATGATTTTGCTGGTTCAAATGTGACTTTCTGATGAATTAACATACTCGAAACTAAAGTGGCTATTGAATGAGTTTTTCCTGGGATTAAATGTTTAATTTTACTATAAATAAATTCACTCATAACAGCTTCATCATGAACATCAAGAAAGTCAAGATTTAACTCATTTTCGTGAATACGTTCGAGTGATTTACTTAGCGCTTTATAATCGTTTTTTAATTCACGTTGAATATTCAAAATCGCCATCTGATTTATGTCCTGTCGAATCCGTAAAACTGTACTAAATGCATTATATATTGATTGTCTCAACTCATTTACATCAGTGCTAAGTCGAGTCACAACATTTAACATAGACTGAGAGATATCCATGATCAACGCTCGTGTACTTATGAACATCTTTCTGTGTTGCTCAGCTATTTCTTCTAACTGCTGTATACGACCTGTCAGCTTTTGGTTTCCAATACGGTCTACTATTGTGCCAACAATCCCTCCTGTCAAAACTCCTAGACCAAAACCAATCCCAAATAGTGCTCGTCTGTTTCGAGTATACGTCTGAGCTTTCAACATATCGTTCATATTATGATGAAACGTATTTTTCGAATCATTCAAGAGCTGCCTACGATAGTCTAAACAAGCTTCGAGACCTTCGATTAACTCTAGTGAGAGACTATGACACATATATTGTGTAACAGGTCGAGAATAAACTACCATAAACGTGTCGTTAATCGTCTGATATGTACCTTTCTGATGAATAACGACCGCAGTACCGTCATGAACAATGGTATTGCCATTAAGTTTTTGAATTAAATTGACTTTTATCTTACCTTCACATACCACCACATGACTAATGTAGATCATAATGGTCATCACTATCTTATTAACCATTACCGAAGATTGACTTTTAATAGTTCTATGCGTATATAAATTTTCTGAATATAACGTTGCTCATAAAACTATGTACGTGAAAAGATGTGAATATTACTTGAACGTACCATATAGTCATAAAACAAGTAAAAGTGATCGGTACTAATGCCTTTCCTTTAATATATAGACTAATCAGTTGCGTACATATAGGTGTGGAAGTTTATATTAATATCGATTACATTTTAGAACAGAAATATTAACGTGGATTGCAATCTCTGATGTAACGCACCATATAGTCATAAAACAAGTAGAAGTGATCGGTACTAATGCCTTTCCTTTAATATATAGACTAATCAGTTGCGTACATATAGGTGTGGAAGTTTATATTAATATCGATTACATTTACTGTCGTGTTGATTGAAGCGTCTATCTCTAGCTTGTGTTATTTTCTACAGATGTTCATATTTCAAACATGAATTACACATGAATCATCTATCAATTCAGAGGATAGATAACAACGTTTGATTTGTCTCACAGCTTAAAAGTTCGCTAAACGAAGAGAAGAAAACAAAAGATCAAAATCATAAACAAATACTATAGCGTAGTCATTAAAGAAAATGATATCATACAGTTAGATCAAAATTAAAACTAGAAAGAGTACGAAATAATATAAAATTAACACTCACAAATAGCAGAGCTCTCCGTCTCTTCATTTATCGTAGTATTATTAATTGAAATGAACTCACAAGAAATGATGATAAAAAAGGAATTATTAATTAAAGAAATTATCAAAGTAACATCCGCCGCTCGTCGTCTAATTGTTTTATGTCGTGACACACGTATTGCTGCCTATTTAGCAGTTCGGTATACAACCTCGAACAATCGATTTGGTCTCGGATTATTTAGTGAGATAAACTATGGTCACAATAAGGTCGTTATTGTCCGTACGAATTATTTATTAGCACAAATAATCGACGATGACGACGAAGTTTTTGTTTTCCTCTGAATACTGATGTCATTCCTATTTAGTTTGGTATTCATTTATTATTGTTATCCTCATTCTGAAACTTTCTCTCGTTTTCTATTTCCGGACACTGGTAAACACACGCCGAAACGAAATCAACATTTTCTTTGCTCTCTTTTTCTTGTTTTTCTGCTTTTTTTGTTTTTACTTAATCTCATTTTATAGCAAAGAAATTTTAAGTGAAGTATAATATAATTTTAAGTGCTCAACATCCACTGTCTCCAACACCAGATTAATGCATTAAGAAACAATCTAAACTAATTTCTTAGTTTAAATTGCAGTCGGTTTTATATCGCTTAAACTTATAGTAATATGTAATAATAATAGTAAAATGAAATAAAATAACAATAGTAAAGTAATCATTTAGAAAACAAAAACAGGTATGCTATTTGCTGTACAGCTATTTACATATAATACATCTTTTTCTGTATCACTTATTACTAGTATTAAGTAACATATTCTTTTTTGCGCGTTCAAGTTTTTGCTTGTTTCGAAGATCACAAATAAGACAGATGAATATTAGAAAAGTTGACTCGTTAAACCCCCGTACGATATTGCGATATTGCGAAAGCCAGCTGAAGGTTTGCTCGCAAACCTCTGTATTGACTCTTTTTGCAATGTTATTTTTGTAAGGGTTGCAGTTTCTTTTGCACCAAGGATCAACATGGTTTTTGTAGTGCATTTTATCGCACACTATAGTCATGTTATCAATTCTTTTTCTAGCAACCGTCCGTTGTTCAAAATTTTTAGCATTCTTTATAAATGATAAGAGATGGCAAGCATCATCATATGCTAGGACTGTAGGTGTACTTTCAAACTCGTTGACTAGCTCGACTAAAAACATATACACTTGTGAAATACTTTCTGAACCATATAGTTCTTGAAGTGCACAAATATATCCACAGTTATAAACTGCAGCAATTATACCAGATGTTCGATGTAGAAAGCGTTTTTGATTTTTTGCTTTTAATGTACGACATGTTAGAAACCGCGTCGTTGTTTCTCGTGCTTTTCTTCTTCGTAAATTATATCTTTTCCTCATTTTTCTCACTGAAGGTATTATAGGAGGCACTTGGGAAAAAATATGCTCAATACAATTTTTCTCTCCTCTTTTTGGAGTATGAGGACAGCCAACTTTCACCGTTCCTAACTCTCTACTTGGTGAAGTGAGTTCTTTGACTGAACAGACTCGTCTGGTTGCTTTCTGATGTCCATCGAGAACAAGAAGTTGACTACAATCTTTAATACAATACTGAGAATGATTTTGTCTGTTCCATCTTTTAATAAACACGGTACGACAGACTTCTCGTAGATTCATTAGAGCAGCATGAAACTCAAAACTCGCTGGCGTTGCTAAATTTATGTGCTCACCTTCAAAATAATGCGTTAATCGCCAAAAAAACCATGTCTTTTCAAGATGTACTCTATCCATAGGTTTTCGATTAACGATATTTGTTGTTTCGCAAAAATAATTATAGGCACTAGCAAAATTCGAAAAACCACTATGTTTATGTAAAATATCGGAGTCTAATTGATGCATAAGTCGTTTATCATAACCAACATTAGCAAACCATAGAACGACATCATTGTCGGCTTTGAAAGAACTTATTCGTTTACCATTACTTAGTAAAGTGAAATTATAATAATAAATTGCAGTACATTTTGAACATTTTTTAAAATATAATGTTCCATCTTCGCTTCCTTTATCGGGATAAAATACGTGTATATCCTGATACGGTATCGGTTCACTCAAATCTGTGTTATTACAATTCATCACACTACAATTAGTATCAGAGGGGATAAATGTATTCATTAAAGTATATACATGCTTTTGAGGGAAGTTAAAGCAATATTTTTTAATTGTTTCCTCAATTTCTTTCTCAGTTTTCCCAAGAATACCATCTTTAAAAATTGGCAACAGAATTGTCCAGTTATCGATTATAATTTTTATATCGTGTTCTAACATTGTAAGACTGCATAGTTTGTTCAATATAGCAGTAATATGGAAAAAACGTCTTGGGACAAACTCATGAATTTTTTTGCTCAAATGACGAAGAGTACACGCGACTTCAATTGATGGTAGAGGGAATATGCGATCTGTTGATCGCAGTGAATTACCTTGATTCATCTCTTATTCACTCTTAAAGATATATGCAAAGGAAGAGAAAATTCTGTAATTCTAAAAAACTATGCTTACCTATTTACGAAGGATTTTCAAAGATTCGACAAGAGTTTTACAATTAGTTCTATTTCAAATATATAATGTTAAAAGTAAAGCAACAGTACAAGTATGCTACATACATATAAATGCGATATGTATAATGTGGTATATTATACAATCAGTATGAAAAAAAAGTGAACGAAGTATAGATATAGTGATAACAAATAATTGATTGATATACAATATTTTGTATACATAATCTAACTGCAGGAAGAAAATTGGGAATATGATCGATAAAAAAAGAAATAATCATTTGAACTCATTCTATTATTAATATTACAACTGTCTTTTCTTTTTATTTAAAGACTTTCTTCCTCTTGACTTCTCTCATAAAGCTAAATAATGTCCTGCGGTAAGGTAACATCTCAACAAATAAGAACTATCATGCGGACGGCTGGTAGAATAGCGACGAATGCGGATCAGTTTTTCGATGAAGGCACAACTAGAATAATTGAAAATATTTGTAGTACGTATCAATTACCACATGCCTATTTGTTTACTATATTATTGCCAGCTCTCGGCCACCACGTTAACAACGCGCAAGTAGTGTGTACAGGTGGTGTGAAAACAAATATCAGCTTTTATACCAGTATTATCGGCTATCCAGGTAGTAACAAAAGCATGGCGGTCGATATCGTTCGTTCTGCATGTATGGATGTTGAAAAGTTTCTTGGTATCGAACTGAACAATTCACGTATTAATAATTCCGCTACCATAGAGAGCCTTCTACATGAGATGAAAGAAACTTCGCCTCGCCTATTTCAACCATGGGATGAACTCAATACACTGATTAGTTCGTTCGGTCTCTATCGTAGTGAGAAAGCAGCTTATGATAGAAGCATCATTAACACTTTATACAACACCAATCAGGTAATACGACGACAGACAGTCAAATCACCGATTAGTATCGAAAATCCAATCCTTCAGATAGCTGGAGCCGGACATCCAGCCGAAGTAATTGAATCTGTAAAACATGATAACGAAGGTGACGGTCTCTTTGGTCGATTTCTATTATCAGCACCCACACCATATTTACCTCTTGCCGAAGAAATATCCGATATTAATGAAAACTGTGCAAGTTTGACGCATCTTTTGTACATTATTAATTTATTAAACCCAACGGAAAATGAGTATGGCGATCCGATTCGTATGGTGTATAAATACGAAGAAGCAGCTGAATCTATCATGAAAGGTGGTATTGTTAGAGACTTTCGTTTTTATCAGTAGTTAAACTTATGATCTTTCCCTTTAGAAAAGTGGAATGAGTATGTGCTTATAACCCGTGAATGTTTCGAATATGATGGTTTCTTGACGTCGCTGTACTCGAAAGCTAAGGTCCAACTTCATCGTATCGCTGGTGCGTTACATGTTGCTCGAATAGCTAGTGAAGTCATTGCACAATGGAAAGACGGGTTGCCATATCACGATATTAGCAAACAAAGAATTGCCGATATTCAACATGTAGTCGACAATTATACATCTACAACCAATTATGAAGGAATTTCTGTAGCAACAGCTAAAAAAGCTTGTTTATTAACAGATTATTTCATTACACAAAAGAAAATTATTGGTGGTCGTCCTGCTCAGGAAACTATTCAAGATCTTCGACAACGTTTTGAAGATAATGATAATGCACTCGAAATGGCTATTGTTGCAGTAAGAGCACAAAAAAGTGTTCCACATATCAAAATATTATTAGCCCCAGGTCTTAAA